GCATATAAAGGACGCAGCAAATTAAACAGGATGACACAGATGTTATGCCACAGCGGAGTCGCACAGTAGGGTGCTGCTTTGCTTCGGTTACATCCAATAGGTTTTCCAAGTAAAGATGTACAGGAACCGAGTTTACTTCAGACACACACATGGTGTGTTTGAACTTGTAGGATGGTTCTCTGTTTTCCGTTGGTGTCCCCATTCCTCTTCCTCTCGTTCTGTGGGGTCCCCCGCCCTTCCTGTCTGCTCTCAGAGGATGGGGCCTGGGGTCTGGCTCAGTCCTGGCCCCCCACACTGGCTCCACAAGGCTGGACGCTGCCCAGACTGGTGGGAGAGGACAGCAGAACTTGGCAGGCCACAGTGGAGAACATTCACAGCCAAGCCAATGTCCTAAAGCACTGCCAGAGAATGACGGGGAGCTTGAAATGACAAGAGCTAAGCCAAGGGACAACTATGGCTCTTGGATTTTACTTTGTATCTGGGATATTATAAGGCTTACGTAAATTTGTTTGTTGTCAGCTGGGCTTTAACGAAACAAATCCACATTAAGGGGGAGCTGTTGAGTTTGGGTGGAAACCAAGTTTCCAGAGACTTTAAAACAAGTGATTCTGTTGAACTCTTGTTTGTATGAAGAAGCTAGCACAGTGAATCTTCGGTGTTTTCCAGGAGCCTGTCAAGTTACATTTGACCGTAACATGAAAGCATAACAAAGTAGAACACTGTTTGGTACTGTTCGTGCCTTAAAGGGGTCATCGGATGCTCATTTTGCACAAGTTGATATGATTCTTTAGGGTCTTAATTAAAAGTCTATAACATACTTTGGTTAAAATTTCTCAGTGTTAAGGGGCGGTCACACTAGACTTTGAACGTGCAAAATTTTTTTGGACGCCGCTGCGAATATGGGCGGGAGCAGGATATGACATCACACGCCAAGGTTTCCCCCCAGTTATCACAACATGGATTCCGATGTGCTTGCACTGTGTCTTTTGCGACGGAAAAGGGGAAGGAGAAGGCTGTGGGTTCACCCTATTCTACGGACTCGGAATGAGCGAGGAGAGTTCCATTCTTTAATTCAAGAGAACTATAGTGAATAAACTGTATTAAAGAATGAAATGTTCAAGGTGTCTGAATACATTTTGGTTTGACTGTACATATATATATTACATTTTTAAGTGCTGTAGGTTTTTCCCTTTTAAATAGGTCATTTTATAAGTTCTTGAGGTGTGCAAAATTAATTTTAAAATTATTCTGAAAATATAAATATAAAATAACAAACAACATTAAGTAATTTAATAATAATACACTTGTCTATAGTAATTATATTGTACTCTCTCTCTCTCTATATCGTTTGTTCCTGTTTCCATTGAAGATGTATTATATAAAATAGGACGCTGCACTACGGCTAAAATTAGCGCTTCCTCCATTTTTGAATTTCTGTACAGAGAGGTCACGCAGTGACGTATCGATCTTCTACTGGTCACACGTCTTCACGTGATGCGAATTCGCAAGTCAGAGTTCACCAAACTTGAACTTAGGAACCCAGCAAAGAGCTTGCGTTTCCGGTCTTACGCATTCGCATGCGTATGAATGGAAGTCTATGGAACGAAAAGTGCAGTGTGACCACCCCTTTAGTGTAAAAAACCTGTCAAAATCAGCTGTTTTTATCAAGCCATTATAGGCCATGTTGCTTTAAATGTTAATGAGCTCTGCTGGCTCCGCCCCTCTCTTCCGAGCTGCTCTCAGAGACTGTTTACTGTAGCCGCATTCATCGTGAAACTTGCTAATTATCGCATTATTAGGAAAGGTGATTTCCAAAGATTAATAAAAAACCCTTATACTCACTTCTTCTGTAGATGAGGCTGGATCACGAATGATTCGAGCGAACATAGATGCATTTAGGCTGATCGGGAGTGGCGCATTCACTTCAAAGCGAAAGTAACGTTAATCCTCTGCGTCTTCAGCAGCTCAGATGTCGGGAGTAAATGACGACTGCTATATTCATTATTACATCCAAAAATGAAGCACCTCAATCGCTTAATCGGAGACATCTTGTCTTCCCCTGCACCAGAGTCAACACAACGGCGGACTGATGACAGCTCACTCAGGGCTGGTCTAAGGTAAGTCACCAGGTCCAGTCTGTGCTGAAACACTACTGTCAATCAACTATCGTGGGAGGGGCCTGTACAGAACTACGTCATTCTGACAGGAATCTCAGAACAGGCTGGTTTGAGAAAGGGGATTTAAAAAAAAACACTGGATGGATTTTTATAATTATAGGATGGATGTGTACACACACTTCCAACATACATTTATGTTCAAACAACTAGAAAAGTGAATTTTTCATCCGATGACCCCTATAAATGTAGGATTAAGTGCTGAGAACTTCACTTCAAAATGCCACTAGATGTGTCAATAAAGTCAATGATCCATCCAATGATAGGTGATTTTATTTTTACATGTGCTGTATGAATTTCAAACAGCAACAGTGTGTGCCATGCTTGTGATACTTGTGAAAAACGTAATGGCTTTAAAGTCTTCTTGAAACTTCTGAAATAAAAAAAAGGAATTAATTTACCTATATCGACACTCACTGTTTCTGTTAATAAAATATATTTTATAGTTACTGTGTATATATTTACTAGTACATGTTTATAATAATTAAGACTTTTTAATGTTTTTGAAAGAAGTCTCTTATTCTCACCAAGGCTGCAATTATTTGATCAAAAATACAGTAAAAACAGTAATATTGTGAAATATTATTACAAATTAAAATAATTGTAGTTTTCCATTTTAAGTCTCCATTAGTCCAGTCCTTCAGAAATCATTCTAATATGCTGATTTGGTGCTCAAGAATCATTAAATATTATTATTAATGTTGAAAACAGTTTTTGCTGCTTAATATTTTTTTGTCCTTGATGAATACAATTTCTTAATGTCCTTAAAAAAAATCCTGAAAAATGTATCACGGTTTCCACAAAAATATTTCACAATATTACTGGTTTACTGTTTTTGATCAAATAAATGCAGCCCTGATGAGCATATAAGACTTCTTTCAAAAAACATTAAAAAATGAATTATTCTAAACTAACTTATGATAAGTAGAGTACACACACACACACACACACACACAGGCCTATCCTATGTATGATTTGTATGAATTTCAAACAGCAAGCAACAATATGTGCTATGCTTGTTGTTTACTCTTTATGAGAAAAAAGCATGATGGCTTTAAAGTCTTCATCTGAAAGGTTTCAGAGGACCCCTTTGAACCCCCACCCCCTCTTGTCCTCCCCTCTCATCTCCTCAAAACTAGTTTAAGGAACAGAGGCTCTGCACAGCTTTTATATCTCTATGGTAACACACCCCCTTTGGGGTCCTTGTGGAGTTTATTGTGTGTGCTCAACGTTGTTGTGTTTGAGTTTTGGCACAAAACTCTCAATATAATGCTGACAACAAAGCGTGATGATAAAACATAAGCGTGATTAAAAGATATTCTGTGAGATGAATCCATTATGACATCACGGTCATTTCCTGGCGTTCCACGGGTGCCTGTCTCTATTCGGCTGCCTCTGGTTCTCTTCAGCACTGTGGGCTGTCTATAGCAGGCCTTCCACTGACTGTGAATGGTCTTTTTGTTGGGGAACAGTGAGCCATTTCTGCTCCCACAGAAAGCCCTGGGTAATTTAGTGTGGATGCCAGGAAGTCTGAGCTCACAGAATGACAACAATGGCAAACGTTATTGCTCCACCTCAAGGGGTGGAATAGAAAGAGACAGAAAAAAATTAGCTATGGTGATAGAATTCTGCTTCAGCATCCTCCCACACTGCGAATTCCTCTTAAATCTCATACGAGCTAGGAGGATCAGAACACAACCTTTATGGTGCTAAACAACCATTTGTGCTTTCAAGAATGCATCACGGGACATGCTTTATTGTGGCACACGATTCGGTGTGAGGTAGATCTTTTCCCTCACCCAAACAAACAAATCTGTTGAAAAGAAAAAAAACCCTAACCAACTGTTTAAGAAAAAAAAAAGTCAAAATAGTCCACCAGAAACCTTTTGAAACTTGTCCTCGTCTGCCATCTAGTGGGAAAGCGTCATCACTGGTGTCAGAGATTCAGGGAATTTTGTTACTTTATGCCAGCATTTTCTTCTCCAACCATATCCAACATACAGTATAAATAATTCAAACTGAATCATTTAAATGAAATAATTTACCCGTAAAATTAACATCACATACCAAAGTAGCTGTAAATAATAAACAGGATATCATAACACCAGAATTGGATTATATTAATTTATGTATGTACATATAAATTAATTAATATATATATATATATTAATTAATTTATATGTACATACATACATAGTAGTAATAATATCATTTAATTATTATTTTATTTTAATTTAATATAGTTATATTTTATTTATTATTATTATAATTATTTTAAAAGCCCTCTACTGTGAAACGTCTCTGTATAATTTACTGTAATTGTAGTTTGAAGTTTTTAGTTGTTGCTCTTCTGTTGTTGCATATTTTTTTCTCATAAAAACTCACTTCATATTAACATAAAAATTTATTTCTGATACAGCAAGTACAGACCTCTGACAGCAACATGTTTACTTTAGTTTTACTCCCATAACGTGTTTTCTTTATCTGTTTTAATTTATTGTGCTACTATCATGAATGTTACTTAAGTTTGTATATCTTTTTCTTGTCCTGGAAAAAATATATAAATAAATAAATAAAAATAAACTAAATCTCCCTTCCGCAACAAAACACGGATGGTCGCAAAATGTCATGTAATCAACTGTAAGGACCTTTGAAGTCTCTCAAACCATATACATATCTATGTCTCAAACACCAATAGCCTCAGGACGATATTGCATACTTTTCATATCGATATAACATATTTCATTTTAGCAAACTAATATTTGTTAATATTATAATGTAATACATGTATACATGACTGATAAATGAAATCTTCAGCAATCACGCGAGTAATTTTACGGCAGTGTTACGTCAGCGGCGTCCTTTCACTTTACGGCAAGGCAGCATGTGGAGGTCAGAAATACGGAATCGCTCGGTCAGAGTCTGAAAACCGTGTAATTATCAAACATCAGCACTTGACAACTCAGCGCAGTAACATCTGTGTAGGATTTTCAACAGACGGTATACAACACAACACAACACTGTCGATAAAGCAAATCGTTTGGTGTCGTTAACGTCCATCATTTTGACGCGGGTCGGTAAAGAAGTCTGATCATCGAGTCTGTTTTCTCTGTATCATCTCTGAAGACATGGATAATAACACACCGGCATCAGGAGGATTTAAAGGGGGACTCGGGAGCCTTTTCGGTGGAGGAACCCCTGAGTATTCAAATACTGAGCTCGCAGGTGTACCATGTAAGTGCTACAGTGTGAGGCTAATGTTTACTTACTGTAACAGTCTGATTCACATTATGGTCTGATTAGTTACTTTGAGTATCTATTAATTTTTGATAATGTATAATGAGAAGTTACCTTTCATTTTCAGTGACTGGTATGAGCCCTCTCTCACCCTACCTCAATGTTGACCCTCGTTACCTTGTACAGGTGAGTTTCTGTAAGTCCGTAGTTACATTTCAGACCTATTTAAAGGTTTCCGTGGTAGAAATGAACTGACAAAGTCAAACACATGTTAGAGGCTTAATGGACTGAAATAAGGGGTAAGCTGTCACATGAACTTGCTGTAGGCTAATTAATGGCAAAAAATAAATGGTAAAATAATTATGAAACCCCAAACAATTCATTAAACAGCAATGGTAACATGCAAAAAAAAAAAAAATCAGAACATTGTTTTGGCCACCAACTGTAATTAATAAATTGCACATTTTTATAATACCTGACTTTTTTGTAAATATTATAAAATATATATTCTCAGTTTTCCTGAGAATATATTTTTTACTTTTTATTAAAATCTGCCTTTATTAGTTGACCCATGCCCTAATGTATGCTAGTGTGATTATATTGTGTTCACTTGTTTATACAAGCTATTACAAAAAATTATATTGGAATTATAGTAATACAAAAATCCTTTACATTTAAGATACCACTTTGTTGCTTGTTTTGCTCTTTTAGGACACAGAGGAGTTTATCTTGCCAACCGGGGCAAATAAAACCCGTGGTCGCTTTGAGCTGGCCTTCTTCACCATCGGGGGATGCTGTATAACAGGTGAGGCCTGTCACTTTGCAGTCTTTGATCAATATTTTGTCTTTAATCATCACCCGTTTTAACTGTTGTTTGTTTCTTTAAAGGCACTGCTTTTGGGACACTTAATGGTCTCCGTATGGGCCTGACAGAAACTAGAGGCATGCCGTGGTCAAAACCCAGAAACGTACAGTAAGTGTCTGCTCCTTTGTAAACTTTGATTAGAAATGATTTAAGTTACCGTATAGAAAATTCAGTTAGGATCTTTTCGAATATCAGTCGCTGGTATAATGTTGATGTGATGCAGCTTATTTCTAACAAGTTTGCTGCAATGCAGAGAACACTTATTTTTAGTGACGCACCAAAATTTCAGCAACTAAAAATATTAATCCGAAATCATTGACCGGGCACTTTTTGTTAATTAGTGCTTCTGCAATGATACGTTTTGACTGTGTCAACATCTGCTTTTCACACACATTGTGGATAAGCTACAACAGGTAAACTTCACCATGACCAAAAATGATGATAGAGTACTGATAAGTACAATTTGTTTGTCTAAAGAGGCGGCACCTTGCAAAAACTTTATTATGACTGGTTTATCACCTGTGAACACAACACCCTGAAGAGCATTTTGAATTTTAATTGTATTACTGCATCTTTTTTTTGGTTGTTGGTTAAATTAAAACTTTAAACACTTGGTGTTTCCATAAAAACTTTTTTTGGTGCATCACTACAATTTTTAAGTTATATTAGGGCTGGACAATAATTCAATATCAATATTTATCGCGATATAATTTTTTTCAATAACGGTGATATGATTTTTAAACACATTTCCGATATTTCGATATACATTACCAGTTTCCCATACATTGATTTATTTGTGGTGTTTGACTTCGTTGAATAAACATGAGCACTGCACGTTTCAAAATCAAATTTTGTTTTATATGAATGTATCTCTGAAGGGAATCGACTGTCTTCAGAATAGTTTAGATGGCATTTTTATCTGATAAAGTAGCGTTCATGAGCAGAGCTGCTTTGTTTACAGCCATTACTGGAGAAACCGTTAGTTCCACCGCTCTCACAGCGCCTCCTGCTGGCAGACAATCAGTTTGCATTTTCAATAATAAACCCATTTCCAGCAACATGCTTTTGTTGCAACTCGGAGCATGTTTCATACTCGTTATCCTGGTTAATGCACGTTTCAATCTATAAGAATAATCAGCCTACACTACCAGTCAAAGGTTTTTGAACTGCAAGATTTTTAATGTTTCTTAAAGAATTATCTTCTGCTCACCAAGCCTGCATTTATATATATCGTGATATAAATTTTGGCCATATCGTCCAGCCCCAAGTTATATTGACTTAAACTGTTTATCTATTGTTTATTACCCATAATTCTACTGTAATACTGACCTTTGCTATGTTCTGTCAGAATTTTGAACATGGTCACAAGACATGGCGCGTCATGGGCGAACACACTAGGATCTGTGGGTAAGAAATGCATTGAATTCAAACAGCTTGTGTAAAAGAATATCACAAACTGCTTTGTGATTAACTGAAGTGACTCGTGCATAATAAAATGTTGGTTCTCTCTTTCTCAACAGCTCTTTTGTATAGTGTGTTTGGTGTGGCTATTGAGAAGGCCAGGGGCGCAGAGGATGATCTCAACACAGTGGCAGCTGGAACATTAACAGGGATGCTTTTTAAATCCACAGGTGAGGAAAAGTGACATTGACTTAAGTGCTAAATATCATGGCTATCACTGATTTAATCTAATGAACATAATGTTTATTGTATTTATTTATATAAATTTATATTTATTTTGTTCAGCTGGACTCAAAGGAGCTGCCAGAGGAGGTCTCATTGGTTTAGCCATGTCAGGGCTGTATGCTCTTTACAACAACTGGGATCACCTGAAGGGGACATCGCCTTCACATTACTGAGGATGACTTGAGAGCTCAAACCATGGACTTATTTTGATTTTGAATTGCACCCATTTCTTCTTTATGAAACCCATGGACCATCACACGTGTACAGACTTCTTAAGAGTTACATTAAATTTAATATTTAAATGGAAGAGCCAGACTGCCTTCAGGTGTGGTCGCTGGTAACATCTCAGTCATTCATGTACATGTCTTTGTTGGTGTAAGTTACAGGAACTCTGTATCCTTTAATCATGAGGTTTTTCCTGATCTCGTTGTGGATTGATGCATTTTGTCAGTGCTGACTAAACTGGCTACATCCTCTCTGAAACCATCGATGATAAAATACAAGTTTCCACTGTTTGAGACTCTTCATTTGCTTTGTGTAGGGATATAAAAATAATTGAGTTGTGTAATACAAAATTTGTGTTTGCTGGGCATGAATGGTCAGTCTTTCGTACTGGGAGTTAGATCAGTGGTTCCCGACCCTGGTCCTGGAGGCACCCCAACACTGCACGTTTTGCATGTCTCCTTAATCAAACACACCTGATTCAGGTCATCAGCTCATTAGTAGAGACTTCAAGACCTGAAATTGTCGCGTCAGAGAAAGGAGACATGCAAAATGTGAAGTGTTGGGGTGCCTCCAAGACCAGGGTTGGGAACCACTGAGTTAGAAGATTAAGCACCACACCATCCTGTATTCACGTAGCTCTAAATAAAATATATAAAAACGTTTACATTAAAAATTACTTTAATAACATAATTTAACCATGTTCAGATTCCAAGACATTTAAAAAATTTTGCAAATAAAGTTATTTGCAAAAATTATTTATTTGTAAGCAGATCAACCTTGATTTCAACAGTCAATGAGTACAGATGAATGATAATTATAATATTCCAGAATGAATGTCCATGGCCGCATGTTACGATATGCACACATGGTCATGTTTTTCAGAGTGAAAGCATTTTAAAACTTCCTTTCAGTGATATATATCTCAACCAGAATAATCATGGTTACTCATCCTATTATTTGAGCAGTATTATACCACTAACCCAAACTCTCCATGTAGTTTGAATAATTGTGAGCCATAGCTGCATAGATTAAATGATACAATAATTAAAACTCCCTATCAAAATACTGATCATACAGATGAAAATGAAGGAATTTATAGAAATTATATGGATAAATTCCTTAGAGCGGCTTAAAGTGTAAAATATAAAGGATAAATTTCCATCCTGTGTGGAAATTATCTGCACTGTTCAGTGAAAACCACTGCAGTTAGACTGTTCTTAAGGGAGAAAGTCTCCCACAACTGGTGAAATTTTCTATCATTACTTGATGCTGACCGTCAGAGCACCTTAAGAACTGAACGTTGGACTGCCTGTGATAGGGCAAATGTATGTGCCAGTCCTTACAGAAAAAAAACAAGGCCAACTGAACTAATGAGTGTAATGCAATGCTGAATAGCCAGGACTTATTTTACAGATGTTTCTTGGCTTGCCGAATGTGATTTAGCTGAAAGCAGTTAAAACTTTGCAGTTGGTGTACTACAGCGAAGCCCATCTCACATGCATAGCGGTGAAACAATCCACAAGCCGATGCAAACTACCCTAACCTGGTGGCTGGTGTTTGTGATGCTGTACACCAGCTCCCAGCGCACAGACCACAAATGGATGAGCAGTTTCATGGGCCAGACCCAGACCTGGGACATGGCACTAAATCTGTTGCTATTACGACTCTTCCTTTGCCTACACATATGGGCAAGGAATTCTTTGAGGTTGGAATTTAGTGCAAGAAGAAGTCCCTGATGCGTGTGGCCTCTATCCATGGGATGTAGGCTGTGGTGCGAGTGAAGACACTGGGCTTGTTCTCCACCATGCATCCGATAGGACCAAAGCTCACAATGCCGTGGACCTCCCAGTGGTCACGCCCTACCTGGCACAGCAGAGGGCCACCAGAGTCACCCTATAGGAAGAAGAGCCACACAGAAGGTATGAATAGAGCTAAAGATGGGGCACCTTGATGAATTTTCCCATAAAACTGTTTTCTCACCTGGCATGCAGCTGGGGTCCCCTCTGTATCTCGGAACCCAGCACAAATCATGGAGTCTCTCACACGGTCAACCCAGAACTTCTTCTGCCGACAGGTCTTATAGTCAATGACTGGGAGCTGAGCTTGGTTCAGAGCCTCAGCAAGTGACACATTTTCTTTCCCACCTAAGATTTACAGAGGAAGAAGAGATGCCAAAGCATATTCTGGATAAGTGGATCACCTCCCTTTGTAAATTCAATGATACCAACAAAATGTTAAAGTACTTTGTTTTTGCCTCAGGGACGTAAAATAAACTAGGTTCTATTGTAGAAACTGCAGTGGGGTACGGTGTTACTGTGCACTCTACATTTTATCTATGAGCTGATGATTTCATAAATAATCCAGCCATCATATTTCAAGGCCATACAAAAGGTTCTTATTTTAATACATGAAGGTCAAAGGCGTATAATGCAGTTTTTACCTCGTGTGTCCCCCCAGCCAGTCACCCAACAGTAGTGCCCTGGTTTAAGGTTGATCTGCTTGCGCGGCAGGCAGGCATAGCGGATGAAGTTACTGGTCTGAATGTCCGTGGCAGCTTTAACCAATGCGATGTCATAGTCCAGCTCACTGTGGGCTGGATAACGGAAGTGCTCATGCCTGTAGATCCTCTTCACTAGGAAAATACGCTCAGCGGACTCTGCTCTTTTCAGTTGATGCTTACCCAAAACGATACGCCAGCTACTTGCATCCTCTGCTTTTCCCCTGGGCAGTGAAGAGCACAAAGATAGGAACTTAACACACACTGTGATCAGCTGAATAGGCCTTTGAGCACCTAATGACTCTTAGGCAGAGCCGTCGTCAGGGGAAAACAACCAGGAACATTGCCCTGCATAAATTCAAGCACGTTCTGCCTCTACTGGTGATAAATGGATGATTTGCCTTACTTCTGAAAGCAGTGAGCAGCAGTAAGAACCCAGTTCTTATGGATCAGAGTCCCTCCACACACATGAACATAATGTTTACTGCCTCTAGGACGAACCTATAAAAATAGATACAAGCTTAAGTGACTTCTTCTTTTGTTGTACCTTGAGTAATGCTGTGTCATTTCAAGTGGAATTTACCTGCAGTGAGACCTGCCACGGCCAGGAGTGGGGTCTTGCTTCGTTGCCTGACACGATACGCTCCACAGTGTTCGGTTTGAAATGAGCCAGGCCACAGTCCTTCAGCCAGTCTAAGGACAGAACAACACTTAAGTCAATGTCAGTTAAAGTCCCATGAAGACAAGCAAACACAAGGTACACAGGATTTGTGAGGAAGCAAATGAAAGGTGTTGTACCAGGAGAGGAAAGAAGGAAAGGAAATCCATATTTGGATCTTTGAGAAGGACATAGAAATAAGTGTAAATACAGTTTTTCAACACTTGTAATGCACTTGAAAGATGTCAATGGTCAGCTTTTTTTGGACAGTGCCCAGAATAGATTGCCAGTAACCTCCTTATAGTCACGCCATGCTAATAGCTGTTTGGACTCGGAGAGGTGCTGACCTTCACGTGACCTTCTGTTGCTTTCCGAAACCTTGCAGAACCCAAGTTATACCTTGGAAAACCCTGATAAATAATTAACAGGATCATGACTGAACTGTGTCGTTTATATACTCATTTCATTAACGATTAGCAGAACCTGTTTTTAGTAAGCACTCATTTATCCAAAGTGACTTACAGTCCACTCATTACAGCAACAATCCCCTTGGAGCAACGTGGAGATAAGAGCCTTGATCAAGGGCACAATGGTTATTGTTCATAGCTTGTACCTTGCATATACGCATGTAACTTTTCAACTCTATATTAAACAACTACACACCACTTCATTTTCATAATAGGTTTTACAGTTATTCTTACTCAGAGCTTTAGCTAAACTTCTTTGAGTACAAGAAAGGAAAGGTTTTTTATATTATAGTTTGTGTGATTTGATAATAGTGTGAATATGTTTCTCATGTTACCAGCAGAGGGCATAAGAACCAGAATACAAAGATGCAACAGGGCCTTTGAATCCTACTTAAGTTTTTTGTTCTGGTGGAGCAGATTTAAGACAGGAGATGCTGAGATATTAATTACTATATGCATTTGACTATATTCAGACTGAAGGGAGTTTTATTATGTTAGTTTATGATGTGTCCCTGCTCACCTGTTGTATTTACTCCAAACTGTGAAATACGGTACAGCAAGGAAAACAAAACAGAAGGGAGCACCTGTTCAGGGGCAGTCAATAACAGGGAATGTGCCTGCTCAACCAATTGGTCAAAATTACAATGAAAGAGCCATGGAAATTTCCAGGGCAATCTACTGGAACACAGTTCACCAAGTTTAGCGGGAACTTCTGACATGTTCTCATGCCCCACTTTTTGTCAGTGTTCTTCACAAACAAAGACAAATGTCATTGCCAGTGAGCCAGTGAGAAATCCCATTGTCTTAGGGCAAATTATTCTAACATAAACAACACTTACTGTACTGTTTTAAAATAACAGACACAGAACATTGTTTACCAACCGCTTTATTGTTGCTCATACATTTCAAGACATTCAGTATTCTCAATATTAGAACACATTAGTGTGGTTTTTGTTTTGTAGAACGCCAACATAGAGCTTGTTTTCATCATACTGTAAGGTGTTGATCCAGTAATATCTATATTTTAAATCACAATGCTGTGGTCCAAAAAAGAAATCAGATTGCTTTGGCAAAGAAAACAAAAGCAGTTTGTGCAGCACAGTATACTGTTGATTTGGTCAGAGATTCTGTATACACAGTTACTTACCTACAATAAGTGTCATGCTATTTAAATGAATATAATCTAAACATTATTGACAGAGATTGCTCTAAATACAATCCATAACTTTCATAAAACCATGACTGATTCTGTATAAGATATAGTCGGGATATAGCACATGTGATTATGATATACATTTAAAAAATCAAACTCTTACACTGAATGTCATATGAACCATTTTAACTTTAATATTTTAACATTATAATGAACAAACTATAAACATTAATGATATTATATAACAAAAAAGATTTATGAATATGTAAAATGATGTGAAAATGACCATAATTATCTTTGTCCTGTGAATGCAACCACAAAATATCCTCCAGAATTAAGTTGTGACATGAAAATAGTGGTGAGATTATGCTTTTTTTTTTCAGGTCAGATTTTGGCACCAAAGTGTACATGTTTTACTTTTTGAATTGATTGAGATTGCCCCTGAGCATAGAACCAGGACTGGGGCTTAGTTTTAGCTCATAATGTACTATATAAGTGCAGGAACATTGACCTTGAATCTATATTTGCTAATCATCAGTAGGCCTGATAAGAACAGAACAGAAAACAAAGAAATCTAAATCCATCATGATTTGAGGGCTAGCGCGTAGACTAACTAGAACTAGCCTTCAGATCTGCTCCAGGGAGCCCTTCAGGGTGTCCAAGAGTTCCACTAATTTTAATGTATCCCTAGCTAATGTTCAGTAATCTGTTGTTTGCTTGACAAAATCCAACTAGTGCAACCAGACATTTTTAGCCTATAATTAGCATTTAAAAAAAAAAAAAAAGATAATACTCAGTGCTTACCAAAATCATCATTTTGGTATTTCGAGCCAAAAGGGGCATCTAAAAGATAAATTGGAAGTCAAGACAGGGACAAGGCCATGTGTGAAGGTAGGTAGAAACACACCATTATATGTAAACTTTGAATGGTAGCTCAATGCAACGCTAGCTTGCAATGTAACTCCAAACATCACTGCTCTACTGATCCAATAGTGGAGCTTTAATAGCTTCAACTAAACGGACAAGGCTTTGGAATATTTAGAGATATTATTTGAAGGAAAATTTGCTTTAGCTAAATAAATATATATGCCACGGGCTATTCTCAATCCATTTCCACCTTCCAGCAAAAGCCTGTACCTTTCTGTTTTACCTTTTCTAGGCATCCACATACTGAAAAGGCAAGCTCCGGCCCTTCACTGATCACTTCAGTCTCCCACAGTACTGGGGTTAGAGCAACACGCTGAACTGCGCAGTGTTCTTATAATGCCTTCGCTCTTCTTCCGTTGCCTGGGCTGCAGTGCCAGGCTGCTGACATTGTCCGTGGAGTCTTCCGTTTGAGCAGCCGCAGCTGCAGCTGCAGCAGCTGCAGTCTCTTCGATCTGAACTTCCAGATGCCTTTGGATTGCTAGGCCAAGCTCTTCAGGGTCCACAGCTGCACCATACACCTCCCAGGTCATACCCTCAGCATCCCATTCCACCTCCTTCACAGGGGTCCTATGACACATGTGTTCCATGGTCAAAGGTGCGTCCAAGGTAGGATCCACTCTCAAACTAATTTCAGGTAATACGTGAGAAAGAGGGGAAGCAAGGGAATCAGACACAGTCTGCACACCAACATCTCTGAGCTCATGGTCAGATGTCATAGTAGTGGCATCTTTGACTGTCCTGTTAAAGCCAGTCTGACCTGTTCTGTCTAGTCTAAGGCAAGAAGAGTTCTGCCCTCTTAACTCGGATCCACAGCAATGGCCTGTACTCCGGCTGTCAAGTCTGGTCTCGCTGACTGAGGACACAAGTGGTGGAAAACCGAGCAAGCCTGAATGGAGCAGTGATCTTTGTCCTGCACAAGGGCTTCCTGCACAAGGTGGCCGTGATATCAAATGTCCAGGGCATGGAACAACACTGCAAGTATTCCTCAAACAGGCAGTGCTTATCATGTGTCCAGAAAAGGTAGATCTATGGCATGCAGTTAAATGATGGCTTTCGCAGTTGCTCTGAGCATGGTCTTCTGTATTTGCTCCCTGTGGTGTGAAGTTGTTGCTAAGACGCGAAGAACTCATTCTACAAGGCACTCTGCAACAGCTGCATCCTGTCAGGTTCTCTGCAGGTCCGCAACATCGACAACATCCCTCTCTGCACACCAGACCCTTCATCCTTAAATCCTTATTTGTGGATGGTGCGTGTGTCACACACTTCACACCACTATGGACCTGATTTTGCCCCAGGAGTGGATCTTGCGTTTGAGTCCTTCTGGGTGAGTCCTCCATGAAGCTCCAGGAACTTGCAGTTCCTCCATGCCAGATTACAGTCTCAGGGGTGCTGTTGCCACTGCACATGCTCCCCTGTTCATGGTCACAAATGTTCACAGGGACTCCCGTCGATGGTCCACCCAGACTGATAGGCCTTTGAGTACATGCTGCACTGCTTACGCTCTTACGCAAGTTCTGACTGTACCATGCCAGCTCCCTTTGTTGAGGAGGTCCACTCACCATTTCTGTCGAGCTTTTGGATAAAGAAATAATTGGCAGCTCATGGTCCTCCACTGTTTCAGCGTCCACAGATCCAAGACTGATGCTTGGGAGGTAGATCTCAGATGTAGGTCGTTGTCCTTCCTCCATAGTGAAATATCTACTGGTAAAGAAGGACATACAATTATAAACTAATTATGAAAAGTATATTATTCATATATAAAACTTAATTATTCACACTATATATTTTAAACAATTATAAGTTTCTCAAGATAAAAAGGCACACCAATTCTTCCTCTCTTTAGTTGTCTACTAGGCAATCCATTAAATCTGATTAATCTGAAAGACCCTTAAACCTTTACTTTTACGATAGATAAAGCTGAGATTTCTTTTGTCCTTACTGCACATAGATTAAAGTGAATAGGACAGGGAGACCCCTTGGGAATATCTCCCTTGAATGATTGACCAGATTACAGACGGATAAGCCCAACTTCAGTCTTAAGATCATTAGCTACAACATGGGTATGCCAGCTCCTCTCAGAAGGACATTAATCCACATGGTGCTCCAGCACAGGTGGCTGATTTCACTCCACATGGTCCCATAAGGACTGTAGGTTTAAATTTACAAACTGTGCCATACTTTAAGGTGCAAATCATGACTGTAAGAGTGTGTTTCTCATTTTTAGGAACTCTTGAGAGCAATGAGTGAATGTGTGTCAGGCCTGTTCATGTTTACATCACACTTCAGCCACTCCAGCAGATTTTTTGGGAGACACTTTTGGGTCTGTCACTCCCTACTGTCAGCACACACATACTGCTGACTCCATACTACAGCACACTCACACTCTGATCTGTACAGTTATTCAAGGCACACTTCAAGTAGTGGTTACTTGCCATCAAGGTGCCTTTTTAAAGCAACTTGCAGTGGACTAAGTGAAGCAATATTACCTGTGAAGCAACTAGAGGTTAAGTGCCTCAAAGACACTGACATTTCAGAACTGACAGGACAGGAGTAAACCTTGCAACCTTTGCGTTATCTGCTCGGATTCTTAATCATTAGGCCATCACCATCTGTTTATGTCCCTGTGACTACTTGCTGAATCATACCATAAAAATAATATAAACTTCCAAGGCTGCCCACACAGAATCTGCATATGCAGAACTCTGAAGAAAGCACAGCAGATTTCTGCAGAATTGGAACACGCAACATTCACAAAGTTCTACAAATTTCTGAACCCTTGTGTGTTTGTTGTAGTGTTGTAGTGAATTTGACTATGCTTTCATCTACCTAAGTGTGTAATAGACTTTTGCATGGCCTATAATTGTTCTCATGTTCTCAAGAAAAGGTGTTTGGTTCCATGGGAACAGCAAATCGAAAGCCCATGTGTGTCAAAGCCAGTGTTCATCATCCATCACATAGACTGCAAAAAATCAGCAAAAAATATATTATCATAAAATTATAAAACATTAAAAATAGGCCTGCATAAGCACTTTTTTTAATCTGCAGGGTAGCACTACTGTGAAATAAGTTTTCAACTAGTTTTATTTACAGCTATTGAACAATATTTAATACTGAGAAGTACATCATTTCGTGAGTGTTTCAAAATAATAAAAATCTCGAAAATAACCTGTACAAATGACCGAAACTCTAGCAGAATGGCAGATGTTATCTCTCCACAGTTATCATGGGAAAACATGATACTTATATTCCCACTGCATCTAAAAATAACAGACAAGGTGTTCTTCCACCTAAACCCACAGTCTAACCTCCATCCTTGTAGACAACCATACACCTGTACTAGCGCCAGACTGTGACACACGCACACACACACACACACACACACACACACACGTAAATATAAACACTCCAGTGAAACTCTCATCCCCTACAAGAAAATCAAACAAGAAAAATCTCACCTTTTGGTTTTACTAGCAAACATACATGGTCCAGTCAAGGCCTTGTGTCACCCTTTGTCTTTCCTTCCTTGTCATCTTCAATTCTCTTTTTTAAAGCCTCGTTTTACCGTTTCTTTTCACATTGAGCAGCACTTGCTTTATGAAGACACAGCTGTGGTTTCCCTCATGGCCACAGGTAAGTCAACAACCTCCCTCCCTCCATGCACACACATGCACACGTACATACCTCCCACTTCCTCCTCTCGTCTCCTTCCCCTCTGCCCAGACGGCTCCCGCCTCCTTCACTTCTTTCCTCTCCTCCACTCTTGCTCTCTCGATCCGCTCTAAGTGAACAGGACAGTGTAAGTGTATTGCTGGATTATCAGTCGTTGTCATCTGATTACACACCACACGCTCCCTCTTTGAGAGGAAATCCACAGTGGAGGGGGGAGGAGGTGCAAAGACACACAGACAGAAATGGTGGGAAGGCAAGAAGCGCTATATGCCCAGTGGAGGGGGCACAATTGTGTGAAAGTTTGTGTATGGGGTGAAGGTTGGGATTTAGAGGAAGAACAGGTAGATAATATTGATATGTCACAAAAAGAAATCTGTTATCCTTCCAAATTAATACAATAAATACTCGTCTATATTTCTTACACACACATGTTCATTCTCACACACTCGTAGCTCCTGCCGCTTACTCATCCATTCTCTCTCTTCCTGTTGCTATAGAAACAGCCATGCTCAATAGGAGACCAATGAATTTTCTTCGTCTTTTTTTTTTTTAAGTTGTCATGGGAACAATGAAAACAGTCTCTTTGAAAGAAGGGCTTGTGGTGCCGGGAAACCATTATGATATATGTCTGTGACTCATTTTTCTTATTCACCTCCATATGGCATTTCAAACTCACAGGTTACCTGTTCCATAATAATTCAGGTTCAGAGGTTAAGCAAAGGCAAAATCCTGACATGTTGTTTTGTGTATAAACATGCTGAGGTTATCTATCGATCTATCTATCTATCTATCTATCTATCTGGAGCAGATCTTTTATAATAAATTGCTGACAGTACAATACTGGACAATGATGTAATCTGCAGAATTTACACTTCAATTATGAGACTACAGTGTTTCCCATACATTGAGTGCAGGTGTTTTTATATCACTGTATTTCTGAAGGAAACCACTGTCTTCAGAAAACTGGATGTAATTTTCATTTCATCTTGCATGTAATGTCTGACAAAGCCGTGTTTGTGAGCAGAACGCTGCTTTGTGTACAGCCGTTACCAGGGAAACCTCAATCTCTACCACTCCAACAGAGAATGAATTTGCATATATATGCCGCCACACATAGAGTGTAAGTCAGTGGGAAACACTGGACTATGGTATAAATAAATTCAACAGTGTAACAGTTTCACTGCAACGTTATAATGTTAGAATTAAAGAACAATAAACATAATACATATGCACTTATCTGTACATAGTAAATGCAGTTATTTTTAAGCTGTTGTTGACATCCTATCTAAAACGTGATTTAGCCAAAAAAACAACAACAACAATAACGTTACCACTCTAATATGTCTTGCAATATCCGTGCGTGCAAAGGTTCTGCGTGATCCTCTTGTTTAATATTCTCGGGGTCTGAATCTGGCTCAAATTGATATGGCTATGGCCATTGGCAAGGGGCGTGGCAGTACTGAAACAGCGTCTAAGCTGTTCGCCAATCACAACGCACTGGGATAGCTAACCAATCACAACACATTTTGTTTTTCGGAAGGCGGGCCTTCATCAAACCCGGAACTAATCGAGCCGTTTGTGCCAGGCTGGGGAGAAAGGTATTGTAATAATGTAAATTATGTGAAAAATAATGCATTTTTCGAACCACCAAGCATGAGAGCATGTTCTAGTACACCCCCAAAACAAAATCAAGACTTTGTAAAAGAGCATAATAGGACCCCTTTAATGTGCTAACATGCACTGTTGCTAGCTAGCTCTTGCCAGACAAAATCCAACATTAGTTACTTTGACACATTAAATTTTATTGGACTTTACTTGGTTCACTTAGGTTTCTGCTACAGTGTCTGAGGATGAGTTTACAGTAAGTAACGGGTGTTTTTATTGCAATCAAATGTCTAGAAACTCAATGCAAGTTAACCACATTTAGAGGTATTGTGGGAACAGCAGACGTGTTGCCTGATTACAGCCTTGATAAACTTCCCCTGTTCTCCAAGAGTTATTCATTAACGCTTAGTGAATGCAAACTAGGCTGCTGCAGACACCATAACATTCAGTCTGTAGTTATTAAACCAGTCTGTGAGCCCTGTGGTGGCTGATTCACTGAGATCAAATCATATTACAGAAGTAACATCCATTGTTAAATTAAACATTTCAGATTAGCTTTCAGCAATTACCACTTTTATTAAGAAGTCCTTTTAACTTGCTAATTGCCTGTAAATAGTCACAGTTTGCTCACTGGACCGAATCAAGGTTTTGTGTTTGTTTGGATATAAATACTGCAACTGGCAGAGCTCATATCGCTCACTTGCTTGAGCCAGTTTACGGTGTTGATTAACTAACCTGGGAAGCCTCAGGGGGCTGACTGTAGTACCCCGCTGTAGGGTGACCGGGCTGTCAGAAGACACTGCTTACTCTCAATAAGGCATCAGGAAGAGAGCCCATGAGACAGCCTCTGGGCAAAATGAGAAACCGGTGATTGGTGATTCACACTGGCTCTACTGGAGAGAAAGAGAGACTTTATTCAGTTAGGAGTTAGCTGTGGCCATCCATGGCTGGTGAGTAGAGGATTATTGGAAGCTGTTGTACAAACTATACTTGAGACCTGTTTTACACAGATATATTATTATGTGATAGTGGATCTTTAAGACAAACAGACGACATTGTCTGTTTTACCAGGCTGCAAATATTTGATCATCTAATGCGACTTAAAATAAGTTGTGCCAGACACATTATTATGTACTATGTGTGTTAGTTGCACCAAAGCTTTCTTTACCAGACATGAGGGTCTAGTGCTGTCATAGCGACATGTATTTCTGTGCGTGCTAATGTGGTATGCTATTAGACACTGCTGAGCAGTTAAGTGACCCTGTACACTAATAATCTTCATGTGCAATTGAACAATTATTGACCAGTGAGGCAAAGTGCCCTTAGAATGCACAATTATGAGAGAATGCTAATAAAGATGCTTAAATGCATACAAGTTTTCCCATTTTAGCTTACAGATACCAGTAGTTATCTGAGAAACCATTGCGCATGTCAAAAACATATTTAAAAGGACAATTCACCCCAAAATTTAAATTCTGTCATCATTTGAGCACAAAAAATAAAAAGATATGTTAAATAGATATTTGAAAGAATGGAATTGTCCTACAATGAAAGTCAGTGGGGTCCAAAACAACATCAGAGCCCACTGACCACTGTATAGACAAAAAAATATATAAAGACATTTGTCAAAATATCATCTATTATGTTTCACAGAAGAAAGAAAGTCATACAGATTTGGAACGACATGGGCCATGGGAGTATCTCATATTTAAACATGGATCTGTACATTAATTACATGTAAAAGTAAGCAAACAAGCTTAACATTATAGAATTCTTTTCAGATTTTTAAAAACTATACTATATGATATATTTGTGTGTGTGTGTGTGTGTTTAAAGTGTTAAAATTACATATTTTTTCATAAAATCTGAAAAACCACACACACAGTACATATACTGTATATGTGAGTGTGTAGTTTTTCTGATGCACACACACACACATACATATGCATATTATATATATATTTTTCATAAAATAATACTATAATGTTAAGCTTGTTTGCTTACTTTAAAGTGTTAAAATTACATATTTTTTCATAAAATCTGAAAAACCACACACACACACAGTACATATACTGTATATGTGAGTGTGTAGTTTTTCCTGATGCACACACACACACATACATATGCATATTATATATATATTTTTCATAAAATAATACTATAATGTTAAGCTTGTTTGCTTACATTTAATTAGTGTACAAATCCTTGATTAAATGGCCTAAGCACCGCAAGTCTTAAAGAGATATATCATATTTATTTTGAAGAGTTTATGTAAATTTGACTTTAAATTTCTGAACTATGAGCTGTATTAAATGAACTACAATACCTGTTAGGAAGTTCTGGTTCACTCGCACTGTATTCCTCCAGGTGGCTGCAGTAAATCCTCTATACAGGAGAAAACAGGTTGTTTTTGTTGCTCTAGAAATAGCTATGTTTCTTGAGCAGCAAAAACACAATGTGCTCCACCTCTTACATGCAGGTCTCCACTAAAGTGTGTTAACACAAGACACTTGACACATCTATTTAAAAAGCATGAGAGAAAGAGACTGTCCAATGGTGTCACACAGCAGCTTTAGTTAATGCAAAGCCATGTTCTCTGTTGTATGATACACTGAGTGAGAGGGGAGGGTTACTGGCCGCTGATTTTGATTTGTTTCTGTGCCATTAGAGCCACTTGTAGCGCTGGCTTGTGGATTGTCTGCAGCATTTCTGTTCCTGCTGCTGTTTGGCCTATCAGTGTATCTACTGTGGAGGAAGAGACTAACTCAAGCGCTCTACAGGGGACTGATACCTGCCACCCCCACAATCCCACGATGCACCACTCCAGTGCTTCAGACATCACAGAGCAGCAGCTATGGGTAAATAACAGTATATATATATATAATATGCAGATATAAAAGTGTAATTAAAAAAACAAACATAAACAAACAAGTAAATAAATAGACATAAGTGAATAAATAATAAAATGTTAAAAAAACATTTATTTGTAAGAAAATGTAAATAAACATCTGTTTGGCCTATCAGTGTATCTACTGTGGAGGAAGAGACTAACTCAAGCGCTCTACAGGGGACTGATACCTGCCACCCCCACAATCCCACGATGCACCACTCCAGTGCTTCAGACATCACAGAGCAGCAGCTATGGGTAAATAACAGTTGTTGCTCGTCTGGAAATGGCAATAGTATACAAGATGTATACCGTATCACTGCAATGTAAGGTGAAACAAACTGAATAAATACATCCGATTCCCATCCAAGCTCTTGGGATTTTTTTTTTTTTTTTGCAGTAATGTAAGGGAGACTGGTACTAGTTGTCACAGGGATTATAATAACGTTTTGTGGGCATGAATACATTTTCTTTAGCAGTACAGGTTTTTGTAGCCAATCCTTCATGTCCTTCATGTCTTCATCCTTCAACAGGTTTTTGTAACCAATTCTTCATGTCATAAGAGAGATGCTAGATGTCACACATTTTACTTAATTAAAATGTCAATTTTTAT